CCCCAATTAGCTTCATTATTATCATAAACTCTTGTTCACCTGTCAGTCATCTCTCTCACTCGAATTTCAAGGGGTTGGATGATATGATTCAGAATTTGTATATATTGTCACTGCTAAAGGTTTCTCCCATATTCCTGCCCAAATTAATGAACTCATCTGGCAATACCTGACCAATAAACAGAGTTTACCTGAACTATCCCACAGACGCCCCAGTTCCAAGCTGCAGGGAGTTCTGCATAACAATGCAAGACAGGCGAGAATAAAAAATTATCACCATGGAACAACTCTAAACCAAACAAAGCTGTGCAAAATCCTGTTTCCAAATTTCAAGTTCTCTGCATTGTTGCTTGGATTTGAATGTGATGCCCAGCATAACAACTGCATACATACTGACAACAGTTCTTAAAGACTGATTTCCTATTTGCAGTCTTCAGTGCTGGGGTCACCCTTTTGCATATTGTTGAATGAATGTGTCTGAATGAGATGCACAAGAGGAAGAAGTTACATGGCATTCCAGGTAGGTCATGCACTGAGTAACATGTAGGAATCCCATTTCTTTGGCTACGAGTGCCTGGTCATCTCTGATCATGGAGAATGGGTCAGATGTGGGGTTGGAAAGGGCCAGTCCTGCTTGGTTCCTTTGGGTAAACAAGCCTTGACCTCAAAGAACTTAGGATTGTTGATAAGAAACAACTTTGTTAGGCAGTTGTCATGCTTACACTGGCTCATGAATAGAGGCTGGGAGCTGGGGTGGTGAAGGGAAGGCTGAAGAACAAAGCTGCCCAAACATCAAGGATGGACTGGGACTGTGCAAACAACTACAGACAGACCTGGTTCATCCCAGCAGGTGAAAGCACAAGAACGTAAAGCAAGATGGCAGGAGATCCATCAGACACAACCAGACATCAGGGAGGAAAACCCCTTGGTAGTCTAGTCCTGCACTCATTTTTTCCACGACAACAGGAGCAGGCCTCTGTCTGCTGCCTAGTCAACTTCTAGCCACCCAGGGCTTTTCTCCCTGATTTTGGTTAATCTTTTCCAGTGGTTCTGCTCCCTGGCTTTGCCTTCTGGTAACACTGACATTAGACTTTTGAATAAATAATAATTAAAACACACTGGTATTGAGTTTTGCTGTGAGAAGCATTTTTCCACCACAGGGGTATAAGCTGCTTGCCAGTCGCCCACAATTTCGTTTGGCAAAAGGGAAAGGGATTAAAAAATAAACACAGAGTAGTCGGATTTACAATGGTTACCTGTCTCCTGTATATTATTTCTCCAAGAACTACAGAACATTGTTTTGAGTGATTCTGCACACATGATTTTCCACCAGCTGCCTGTGGCCTGAAATGCCATGGATCTGAATCAGGGTCAATCCCCTGACACAGCAGAACTACAAGCATGTTTAGGCACATGTCTGACTGTCTTGCTTATTTTGCAGATTGGCAATTTAAATGGAAGTCCATACAAGAAAGAGGCATTTGATTTGGATGTAACTACTTCAGACATTTCTAAATCCACCCTTGGGCAAGTCAGAAACTGTCACTGGAATCGGAAATAAAATCCCTTAACACCAATGTGCATTAAGTACAGGTATTATTTATTCTGGCACTGGTTGCATGGGGGATGATCCTCCAAGCTGCATCCCAACTATCCAAACTTTTTACTATTTATACATTTCAGCAAACAAAGAAATTAGTGCTCATTGGTCACAAGTTACTTAACTCTTATAAATTAGTATTCTGTCATCTATTTGTTTGCGATTCTCTCGCTTCTTATGCTAATTACCCCACTTTTGAGTCCATGGCTTCTTGGGGGTCTTCCATGGGGGTTTTGGATAGTCTCTGGTGGTCCCTTGTGGCTGCTGAAGGGATGTCCATTAGTGTCCCTTCCATGAACTTTGAAGTCTTGGCTTAGCTCATTACCTGGTCTGCAAGTTCCTTAGCTTCATCTTGACTGACTTCTGCTGGCTCATCTGCACCCCTCTAGGATGAGCTAGTCACAGGTGTAAGAATTTATGTCCTTGGGTGCATTCTTGTCCGAGGCCCCTTTCAACAACTCCCCCTTTGAGACTTACTCACACAGTTAGTCTTAGATAAGTTCTTTTAGCTACCTTGCTAATTCTGCACCAATTGACACTACTATGCTAATTTTGCAACAAAATGAAGAACTTTGAATAATATTCTGAAGAAGAAAGTAACATAACTACTTGAAAGTAATATATGACAAGAGGAAGGTGCAAATGGTACAAAGCTGTGAACAATGTAATCTGAGGCATGTTTATTTTCCTTTTTGTGTGTTCTAGGACCTTATAAAGCAGTTAAGTCCTGCAAAGCGACAGAAGGAGTTAAATATGTGCTATCCAAAGGGGCTTAACCTAAAAACAGAGAGCTGTGCTCTTAGACCCCTGGTATCAACAACACCTCCCAATACCCAAAACCTTTAGATGTTTGTGTCTAAAAATTGAGTCAGGAGATTTGCCCTTCGCAGACAAGACTGATACAAGCCAACAGTGCTATAAACCAATTCTTCCATAAGCAATAACAGCTCAGCTGTGAATCACTGGAACACAGTGACTAACCTCTGTGGAAACTAGAACTTGTTGCCTTACCCACAATTTTGTTTCTTACCTCAGAAACACAAGAAACAAACTATATCTGGTCTGTCTTAAGTGTGCATGCAGGAAGAAGATATAGAACACTAATAATTTATAGCAACAGCTTGAAAGGAAAGGCTGTGATTAACAGGTGAAAAATTACAATCTTTGTTATCATCTCAGTTTCTGCTAACAAAGGAGCAAAACCATTGATTGATCATGTTTTTTTTAGAGTAGCTTTTGTCAGCTCTCTAAAAATACAGAATGTGCAAAAACACGGCAAAAAATTCTTGCTCTGGTGTACAAGAAATGTAGACAAAAAAAAGGCAAGAACAATGTACAGAATAGATCTGGATGACAGTCATTCCAAAGGCAAAATTATTACAGGCTATTATCTAGTTGTCTGGAGGAGCCATGGACCAGCTGGCTGTGATGTTCTGCTCAAAGTTAAACACAGACAGGAAACCGCATGTCTGATACTGTAAAAATCGTTTGTCTTCCTGCCATGGCTAACCAGGCAAGCAACCCAAAGGGGCTGTTTTCATTTAAAAGAAACACTAATCCACAACAATAAAAAAGGAATGACAAAGCCTCAATTCTCCCTTCTCCCAACTGGAGTTAATGCCTGTGTTTGTGAATGAACTGGAAATGTTACAAAGTGAAGTTTTACATTACTTTAATTTTTATCTGTAGTTATTCACTTAATACATATGAATGCAGCACATGGTTTTCATGAATCACCTAGAGTGCTTACAGCACATGACCTAGAAGGAAAACCTTCACTCAGAAGAGCGAAGGGAATTAGGGTAAAAAGTCTGGGTTTAAATTTATACTACAGCTCCTTTTAGGTTGCTCTGGAAGCATTAGTGGGGCTGCAGAGTTGATGAGAATGAAGACATTTGATGTTGAATTTATAGAACAGTTTTCATAAACATATACACTGAAGACACACATTTATCAGAGTGATTGCATTCAGCTACATAGCTCCAGGAGAAACAGCTATAATGCGACTAATTCATAACAAATTAGCCAAAATCCACAAGGGTGCGGTTTGTGTTGTACAAAAACATTAGACAGCTGACACAGAGTAAGATCTTTTCACTGGGAACCATTCTCTTCCATAAAATCAAGGCAGTCTGTGAGAATTAGGTCCTCGGTCTACCAGCTGTGCTCACATCAATACCAATATTTACTCTAAATCCTTTAAAGATCACCCAGGTAAGGATTGGTCACACAATCATGGAGCAGTAGTCAGGTTGTCTGGTTTCAAATCAGGCTTGGGGAGGGGATGAGGAAGAGGGTGGTACCAGATATGGATAACCTGAGCCAAGGGAAGCAAAGACTTGCTAGCTTGCTCTTGGCTAATTCATGACCAAAACTAGTTAGCCTTCTGAGAGGACTGAGAAGTGAGAGCTCAAAGTCGCTCACATAGTTGTCTATCTCAGTGCAGTCAGTCACCACATCTTCCAGGAGTTTGATTATACCCTTTTCTGAGGAACTTATATGTGATGTGGGTGGGTTTTGCGTGCCACACTCCTATAGAAGTGTGTGCACACAAGGTTCTCCAAGGGTGTCCTCACACTTGACTATGAGGGACCTGACTTAGTCTCAGTAAAAGAGTAATTGTAGGATCCATCAGGTTGGAGAAAATATAGCGAAGTGTGTGTGTGTGCACCCATGCACATCTGTGTGTGCAGCATGAGGTCCACCAGCACTGTACACACCTGCACTGCCTTTACTGTATTTGCAGTGGCCTATACTGGCATTCACAAAGTAGAATGGGGACAAGTTATGCACTTGTGATTTGGTCTATACTTCAGATTTCTCTGGTTTACCTGAAGTCACATACACTTCCTTGTGCCATAGTAAGCATGAGGTACCATATCCCCCAGTGAAAGAACTTTCTAGCTACTTCACACCCACCACAGAACAAGTGCAGATGGTGAGTTACACTAGAGAAGCTGACTTTAAAATTAACATCCTATCAAGTTATCAGTAGTACATGTAAATGCAGATAACACTCTATGGCAATACAGCCTTTTAGAAGAGACAGGACCTTAAATACAGCATTTGACTCTACATTAGGTTTCAGGCAATTAGCATCTGTTGCATTTTTGATACATCAACAGAACAACTGTAAACATCTTGTTTTCATATTTCAACTGCTCTTAAGTGCAATGTCTTGACCTGAGTATCAGACTTGTTTCAAAAGGAGGACAGCTTGGCAGGAAGAAATATCCTCTGAACACAGAAAAGAAAGGTTGAGATTTGTAAGATTCAAAAGAGATCAAAATAGTTCCTGCTACTAGAGGTTTTCTTCCACAAAATGCAATTCCAAAGTATGGTATGACACAGTTAATATTACTTGTAAGGAATGTAGGAATGCAAAGTAAATTACTAAACTTACCTGATGTAAAAATGAGCATATCATTGCATTCTTCACCTGAACAGGAACACATGAACATCAATCCCCCATCTTCCTTCTTTTCCCTCATCAAACACTGCTCTGAGTCGTAGTCATCCAAAACATGACCGTACAATGTTTTCTGGGGATCATGGCATATTGTTTCTAATGTCACATTTTCATCATTCTGTCTCCTAAAAAATGAAAAAGAGAAAATTGAAATCAAAGAAGGAATATTTAACAAAGGCAGCAGACAGGACTGCACCTGCCCAAAATTTGCCTCTTTCGAGAACATAAATGGCATTTAAAGAATATCCTATGCTCTTCTCGGTCTTTCCTGAATAAGTTAAGTTTGGCTGTGCCTGGGCTCCTCACATTTATACAATGGCACAGCTATTCCTGTATCATATTATCACTAAGCTCGGAAGAGTGCCTTTGAAAATCTCACCCAGAATTATTCAAGCTAAAGCTCAATGAACTGCTGTGAACTTCAGAACATACTTTTGTATCCAGAAAGCTAGAGTTGCCTTACTGTCAGGCAGATATCTACAACTGATAATCGAGACCTTATTCCAGTGTTTTGTCCTGGTCCATAGATTTCATTTCATTGACCAAAGACTCAAAGGCGAAGAGCATTTTAAATACAGCTCTCGACTCACTTGCCTTTTGGATAAATGGTCCTGAAAAATCCAGAATGTGTCTTAAATTGCACTACAGCCCCTTTTTATGGCAATAATAAACAGCGATCACTTACTAAAGAAGCACAGGACAAATATGGAACAGCAACACAGATACTTGCATTTCAAGTGTCTACTTCTAATTATGGTGAACATCTCTTCAAGTCAACGGACACAACTGATCCCTCAATGAATGAATTAATTATGTCTCTCTGTAACTGGTTCTAATTATTTTCCTAAATCAGCAGCAATGCTGCAAATACTCAACTCTGTTTCTTTTGTCCACTTATGAACTCATTAAGAGTGTTTCTGGTTTTCTTTGGTAGGACTGGATACCCATTTATGGAAGGGCAAAACATCAGTTTTTAGACTGGAACATAAGTCTAGAGTCAACAAATCCTAAAAAAGGTGTTACAACTTGTTTTCATAAAGCCTTGATTTTTTTGAACCTAGACACATGCGATATAAAAAGCATCATGCCTACATCAAAGTCACTGCATACACAGGATTTTTTTAGCATTGAGAGAAAGTATTTCTACCTATACATAGCAGTAAGCCTTCTGTGATAAATCTACATAATCTAGTTCACTTTGAAACTTGAGAGAGAATTGTTTATCTTCAGCAAATGTCACCACAATCCACTCTTGAGTCTCAAATCTGTTTCTGCTCTGAGTGCTGTGGGTGAATGCAGCTTACTGGTTTGAGCAAAACCATGCCTCTTTTCCAATAACAGCACAAGCTGGAACAGAACTGTTCCAGAAGAAAAAAAAAAGGCTCCAGAACATTTCATATCAGAATTGTTAACCTCAAGCAACTCTTGGTATGTTGAGCACAGGTATGAGTTGGAAGTAAGAGAGCAAAGCCTGGGGAGGTAGCAGGGACATTCTGAATATAAGAGCAATTGAGGTAAGTACTAAGCAATCATGAATGACGATGTGCTCCCCTCCCCACCTCTGTGAAGAAATAACTTACCATATTGCAACACAAACTTCACTACTCTTCTCACAGATAGAAGTGATGTTGCAGTTGCTCTTGCACTGATGTTGGTTTGAGCAGGTTGTTAATTTAATATCACAAAATTTGCATAGGTTTGGCATTTTCAATCCATTTTCCTTACTTCTGTCTACAGGTGACATAAATTCAGCTTAAGAAAATAAAAAAGAGAAGGAAACTCAATAATGGTAGATTATCAGATTGCATTATTGCTCATTATGAAGCTAAGGTTTTCATAAGCAGCAAACATTCCCTCCCACCTTAAATTAGAAAATCTTTGATCTTTCACAGCTACCAATTTTCTTTACGAGGAAAGTGCCACAGTGTCAAGACTAGGTTAATCCAAGTGAATTTGAAAAGTGACATGAACTTCTACTGACTTCAGAGGGAGCAAAAGTTGCTTTGTAATTTGCAGAATCAAGTTTTTTCTGAGATCAGTTTGCACTGAAATAACTCCTCTGCACTCACCCATTTGCATTATTCACAGACAGCATATCTGTCCCCCATGTATAACACTGCATCATGGTCTGTGTGCCAAGTAACTGTGGATACCATACTGGGAATGCACATTAGGTGTGTGACATCATTATGACATAGATCATGATGAATTTTGCAAGTTTATCTTTACTAACCTGAGGCATAACCTAGGTGTCATCCTTAATCTGATTACTGTTCACATAGGAAAACAGAGTCAGAATTGAGTTTCAGCTTAAGGCAGATGGTCTTCCAGAGGTTGTGGGTGAAACTCAAGCTGGAAATGCAATAGTGCATCTGTGCAGCTCATGTAGTCTACTGCAGGAGTCTTACTGGGCTAACTCAAGAGGACTTGAACTCAAACTAACTTCCAACGACAGCCTGTCTTGTAAAAGCCTACTTTGACCCAACAGCTACATTTCTGCACCCAGACACCGAAAAATTACTTGCCTACTGGCTCTGAGTCTTAGTACTCACCATCTGCTTCAGTGCAGCAGCAGTAAGCAAAGAGATATTTTTTGCACCAGTGTATGAATTTCAGGAAACATACTTTTAGCTCAAAAACTATTTTGAAAAGCCAGTGTGACTACAAGGAACAGAAAATGCCGACACAAACTTCTTTCTAAAGCTAAAATGAATATGCAGCCATCTGAAGTGGAACAGACAATCAACAACAGTTTCAGTCTAACTCACTTTGTAGTGTGTTTGGAAAAGTAGGTTGAACCACTTTAAGGCGATACTGAGCTTCATACAGCACAGCCCTTCTCTTGTAGCCACCTGTGCGTTAAAGCTATGTTCATATTGCTTTCTGTGGCCAAATGTTGCTAGTCAGCCGGTAATAGGCAACCAGGGATTTGTAACTTCCCCTTCTCTCCTCAATTAGCTGAGAAATCAAATTTTTCCTTCTAGAAACTTCTCTTTACTACCATTAGTATATTTTATGACAGGAAATAAACATACGTGATTTTTGCAGGAGGAAATAAAAGGGCCTCTTGCTAACACTTTCAATGAATTTCTGAGCCATTGTGAGGAACTGAGAGAAATGTCTTCCCTCTTCATCCAAATCACATATTCTTCTCATCACTAGCATATTCTGGTACTGACCTAAAGCCTCTGATCTTACTGCCATTGTAACCAGTGGCAAAACTCCCAATAATTTTAACGGTAAAGAAGATCCTACAAGAGGGGATGGTTAGAATGACCTCACTGGGTGTGGCAGTGTTTTCCCCCTGCTTTTGGCTTAAGCAACAGCTAACAGTAGTGGTTGGATGGCTGCACCTGGCCTAACTTGGACTCTAGGAAGACAGATAACAACACAATAGCTAAGGGCCATAAAACTTCCTCAACAGCTGAGAGCTAATTGAGCATGCGCCAACCAAAATACAGCTGTTATGCAAATATTACTATAAATCAGTCATCTTCCTCCACAAATAGGGAATAGCCCAGGGTCTGTTGAGCTCTCCTGCATGGCAGTGGGCTGCATGCCAGGATCTCCCCCTGAATAGGGATGCCTCTCAAGGTTGCTCATCGAGGTTGAGAGAATCCTTACTGTGTCAAATACCTGGTAAGTGAATTGGGAACAAGCATGTTGAAACTTTGAAATCTTAGCTAAGTGCGATAAAGGATTGCTCGAGCACATATAACACTTTAGACATAAACCACTGATGAAGACTGAAACTAGGTATGGATCCAGTCACACCCAGAAACCCCCTCAGAAAAGGGTTTAAGAATGCAAGGGGGTCCTTTCCGAACCTCATGACTCAACAGGAGGGTCTCTCTGACAGTTTTGTTTCAATGCAGTAAATAATCAAGTGCACCTTACCATCGAAGCTTGTTAAAGGACTGTCACATTTACTATTAAACTTTTTTAAAACCCTGGTTTATGTCAATAAGCAGTGCTACCTCTCTCTTAGGAGGGAAGTGTGTCACTCCATCTGCCACACTGGGAGCATTTACATGGGTGGAGAATGCTGGCAGTGTATTATGGGCTGGCAGAATTTTAAGCCCCGGGTAAACATTTCTTGGTCTTAATTATATGTGTTGCAACAACTCCCAGAATTCATGCAGAGGAACAATGCCTCATTGAAGAGGTGTGGTAGGAAATCAAAAGGTCTTGAATCCAGTGTTCTATGAAATATGTGTTAACATAATCATCATTATGGCAAATTGTTCATCTCTTCTGGGTGGTACTTCTTGTTTACCACATGCTGAAGAGAAACTAATGGCTGTATAAACTTATCTAGGTTCCAGTAATGATCAAAGCAACATGATAGCGAGGGACTGTCCCTCTACCCAGAAAGAAACAATCTATGGTGCTAAAAGCCTGGATGAACAATAAAGAAAAATATTGAGGGAGAGAAGAAGTGACTCACACAAATTTACACAGGACACCTGTGGCAGGTGCCAAGTGTCTCAACAACTGAGGACAGGGGAAAGACATTTGTTGCTCAAACTGCTCTACACTGCTTTCAGCTCTGAGCTCACATGGCTCTGTGTTTCACTGGGCAGCTGTGTTACGATGGATGCCCCTGCCATAAACATAACTCAGTTCTCTTTAGTGCTCACAGAACTGGAGCCAAAAGCCACATGAAGGTGGGTCATTAGGCAAACTGGTTCAAGCACATTGTATTTGTTGAGAGGCAAGGCTTGCTCCCATGCCATCCCCGGTTGTGCCAGGTTCTGCCAAGACTCACCCACTGGAACAAATGGATGAAAAGATGTTTGGACCTCTTCCAAGGGGGGATCTCCAAACCAAGCAACTTGATCAAAAAAAAATCTGGAAAGCAGATATTCCCTGTAAGGTCACAAACCCTAAGTTTCTAAGTTAGAGTGGTCACCTTAATTTAATCACTAGCAACAGCAGCAAAAGTCTGGGCAGTCAGGGCCAGGAAACGTCTGATCAGGTCAAATTACTGGCAAAAGCTAATGGGGATTTGGGACTTCCAGAAGTGACTACACTTGTACTTTCTCCCCAAAATTCTTATAACAGAGGCTGACAGTGCAATGCCTCTCTATTCATGTCTTTGACAGTTCAAAGTACTGGATAAACTGCCCAGGGGGACAAACATTATTCCATTCTTCAATATCTCATTTAAAGTGACACTGCAGTTTACTTTCCCTAATACTGCCATAATGCTCTAGCAGGTGTTGGTGTGTTGCTCATTACTACAGCTTGCCCTTGCCCACTGTCATGACCCATCCAGTTCCAAACTAATGCCAAGTTTGACTTTCTCTATCTGATGCTGAATCCAAACTCTGCAAAGGGCCTGAGACGAAATGTGGAGTCAGATGTGAACCTCAACATCGCTCTTCTGATCACAGCCTGCTACTAGACCCTGAGGATTTACAAATGCTGAAAAGATTGGTCTCCTTCCAAGTCACATGAACTTGCACCTATCTCTAATCAACAAAATCCTCCCTGGAGAATGACAAGTTGATACGATTCTTCCCTAGGAAAATCTATTCGCTCATTCCCTGAGTGGCCCACAAACAAGGAGTGGTTCATGACCAGCAAGACTGCTCCTCTTGTAGTCACTTAAATGTTCATCTCTAAAAATATATTACTACCCTGTGGCACACTTCATACCCCATGAGCCAGCTCCTCAAGATTTTCTCCTGTTAAGACAACCAAAGTCACTTGAACACTGTGGACAGAAGCAACTTCTGATTTTGCATGAAACAAGGAGTGGATATAATGGAAAAGTCAACTGAGAAATCACAGATTTGCACATCTGAAGGAAGCCATCCTAAAACGTGCATATCTTCTAAAATTTGATTTTGCCATCTACTCTTTAGTGGTAGTTTTCTTATTTTGACTTCTACAGGAAGCCTAATTCTAGCTTTCCTTGCTTCCTTGTCCATGGAGAGGGCTCCAAATAAAAGACTGTGGTTTTTGGGCTGTGAAGCATTCAGCCAAACAATTCAGCATAGATCAGTCACCACGATTAAAATGCATGGAACATGCAAGCCAGCATGTGAGCTGGATGTTATGGAAGAGACACCAGAGCAGTCACATAAGAAATACCCATTCCATGGATTCTGGTGGAGCCAGGCTTGCAGGACAACCCCTTCTACTCTATGGTTCACGTCTTTGTTTAAGATTTTTCAGGACATTATAGACAGCACACTTCACCCAAGTCTACTGACTGTCTTGAACTTGTTTGCTTTGCATCTGTTGTTTTTAGATGTGCAACTTTCATTGAGGCCTCAAGCTATAGTTTACTTTCCTCTTATTTTTAATACCATTACAGAATTCTCACAAGCTAACAACATTTAAATACAACCCAAACCAACATGCTGTCTTTTTGGGAATATCTACACCGGAAAACTTTTTATGTCTTAGGATGCATTTCAGAAACAGCAGCCAATTACTCTAACTCCTTTCTTGTAAAATCCTGTCACTGCACTTCTGTTCTCTCATCTAGTGTCTTTGGCACATGTATACTTATAAAATAGCATTGCTGTGCAGACAGATCCCTTCCCTTGAAAAAAATAAATTGCTGACCGAGATGTTGGGATAGAATTCAACTACTCAGCTGCTGTGAAATAATTCCACCTGATGGGAGAGCCTTGAATTTACGAATTCACTCCACTGCATCATGGAAATCTGCAAGGAGGATGATACCTTTATCAGAGAGCCTAGAAGCAGATTGCCCTTGTCCTCCCAAAGAAC